ATACTTTTATGTAGATCGGCCCAAAATTAAGTTGGACTATCGGCCCACCGGGACAAGTCCCGGTATCCCGATAGGCCAATCCGCCCCTGCCCAACTGTTATATGAATATACAATATGCACGCATATACAACTTTCTGCTATTGCTCCACTACATTGAAAATATAAATATGAACTTTCACAGTTGACAAAACTTTTGACCAAAAGACCTTTAATCTGTTATTTGCCTGTTTGACCACTTATAGTGGCCAATGGCACATCATATCATAAAGCTTAAGAAGTCTGACTCCATTTTCTCAATGAGATTATGGCTGAAAATATTGCTAACAATGAGGGTATGCTTCTGAGAAACATTTCATTCTAATCTTTACAATAAGAATGTAATAGCAGTATATTTAATTATTTATTACTCGTTGACTTTTAGTTGTGATGTGCGTAGTAGGTTTTCTCTGGTAAGAAGTTAACATTAAAATGGAAATAAATACAGATTAGCAGGAAGAAATAAACAGATAGAAAAATGAAAATAAACTGCTTTTCTTACATAATGTAGTGGATGTTTAATGAAGATTACGTGTACTTTATAAGAAAATGTTTTAGGTTCTGTACTTCCCATTTCATTCAATCTGATGGTTAATAGACTATGTCAACAAACATACAAGTAAACAAAAAATGCACGCAGATAAACAAGTAGATACATGCCTAGCTAGAAAAGTATGCAGAATTACTGTCACAAACGTATTTAAATAGTTTAATGGAAAATTTTATCGTGTGCGAACAAGGATCTTAACTCATTTTGCAAAAGCTAATCTGCCAAGTAAGTTAATTTATCGGACTATTTCATCTCTGGAATTTATATATATATATAATCTGTAATGCATTTGACTCTGAAATTGAGTAATGGATGTGATGATATAATAAGATGACTGATAATTAATCACATCGATTCTAGCTGTCGTGAGATTGAAACCTATCGCCGAACAGGCTTGCTTTGTCAGCCATGTGGTTGTTATCATATAATGGTCAACAGTTGAATGATGGTGTTAACTAGAAGAGCAATCAAGTGGAAAACATTTTATTGAAGACTTTAGAACTGACTGAGATCTCTTGCAAATCTACGGCTTTTTTTTTATACAGTATGATAAGAAAATATATGTGGAAAAGTAAGGTTTTAATTAATGAGATGAAAGTAAATTCTTAAAAGCAAAAATAATTATACATATGTAGTAAACTGCAGCATAATAAATAGATCCTATTGTGTTTTCTACAGAGATAGAAAATAATAATATTCACGTGGTTCATGAACAAAATTTTAAGAAACACTGTAGTAGCAAATATGGAGGTGTTCTTATTAGTTGTCAACTTGTAATTGGGATATTTTATGCAAAAACTATTTTCCAATGACGAGTTGAGATACACCAGAAAAAGGCTATTGACAATGCGACTATCTTCAACTTGATTTCTAGAGAACTGAGCAAAATATATTTCAGGTTGTTCCCTAGATATTTTTGCTAGACACTCATAGAAAGATCCTACTTGATTAAACTACGAATAACAGATGGATTGGAGTGCACCCAAATTTGGTTGTATGTGTGTGTGTGTGTAGTTTCTGGTATACACACACAACATGCTGGCAAGAAAAGTGCAACATGCGTATTTTTCATTGAAATTTTAAGTCACATTGATTTAAAAATTGAAGGAAAGAAAATGTTGTGTTAGTCAAGTAATTCTATCATTCACTGAAATATTTATTTCACGAAGTTTAACATGAGGTTAATCTTTTAACATTAAGTACAGTAATAGTAGGGATCGACAAGGAAAAAAATGGCGGCCGAACAAAAATGCTTTCACAAAAATCGCTTTATAAAAACCTTTTCCACAAAAAACCTACTGAGATACATAAACAGAACGTAAATAGTACCTTGATTTACAGGGGCAAAAGGTCGAAAATAGCTCAGTTACAAATTAAAACAACGACTGACCTCGTCAGAGAGCCTAGAGCAAAAACAACTACCGTATATGATGGCATATAGGACGCATGGGTATATAAGACGCACCCCCATTTCAGCAGGTCAGATTCAGGAAAAAAAAGTTTTTAGTGTATTTAAGCATATATTGGTGAAAGTAATCTAACAGCACATTACACAAGCAGAAAACACTTGAACATAAACTAAAACACAGTAAGAAAATGGGGATACATTTTAATCATCTTCATAACCAGAAAAATCTTCATCTTCAAAACCAGAAAAATCTTCATCACTACTGCTGGAATCACTGACTTCAAATAACACATTATCTTCTGTGCCATCAAGAGCATTGCTAATGCCACACTTCTTAAAAGACTTCACAATGATTTTAGGCCTAACATCATCCCAAGATTTCTTCACCCACTCACACACTTGGGCAATGGTGGGCCGCTTCATTCTTCCTGTGGGTGTGAGGTCATAATTGGCTATCTGTTATGTCCACCGCAGGGAATCATACTCTGGAATTTAGCGTTGTAAGTCTATATACTTTCCGCTGTCACATGTGTAGACCAAAGTAAGAATTAAATTTGATAATTTTGCGATTTTAATTTTTGTTTCAGTACTTTTTGTAGCAAGACAACTACTTCATTTTAAAATTAATAATTTTTAATACTCTTTAATATTGGATTTACAGTAGAGCTGGACAATTAGATTAGTTATCTATGAATATCGATTACATTGATTAGTGTCAGGTAAAATAATCAACTAAACAAAATTAGTGTTTCTGATCATTATTGTTTTTATACTGAGAGTAATAGATTCACGAACCTGATAATTATTTTATCAAATTCTGCAAATTGCCCAGTTATAGTTTATGGTGAGTTAAATAAAATTTAAATGGCATTTCTAAATGTGAACTTCTACCTTCATTTATTATTGATCTAATAATCACCAAAACTGAATGTGTCCTTGTGTATAGAGCTAAATTAGTCAACTGTTATAAATAACTGAAATCTTTATTTAATGAAGTATAATACAAGAGTAACTTTTCACACAGCAGTCTGCAGTTCAACATACAATTAATAAAATCTACTATTTACCATCTGGCTAACTATTTAGATACTTTTCCCGATCTGATATTCACCAAGTTCAGTGTAACTTACCTCAAGAAGAAATCAAAATTTACACAGTCATTTTAGAACTAACCCAAAACAAAATGTTCACCAGTACACACATCATTAAAAATGTTAACTTTTTGCACATGTACTTCTCCTGTAGCTACATGTATCAATCTTTTATTATTACTGTAAAATGGCAATAGAACTTAATACATATATCCAACTCGAACTTTTTACTTACTAGAGACATTTATTTTACTTTACATGCCATTCATGAAGTCGATTAATTTGTTAAAAGAAAAAGTTATGACAACCAAAGCATACCCACTCTTATTGTGAGCCTTCCACTTGCTAGATGCACAAACAGAAGGTCTGAGAGACAAATATGTGTTTTTACTAGATTTGAAATACACAAACAGTGTCTGAGCAGTAACATTTAAAACAATATAGTAAACTATAAGAAAGTGAAAACACAATTTTATTTTTGTATTTTTCAACTCAACATGGAGGCCTAAACACCCCACTTGGAAAATTTGTATATGAAGTTGTAAAACCAACTCATTTAAATGTTCCAGCTACTTTCTTCAAGCTGGAGAAGAAAAATGCCAAGATATTCATCCATCAACAAGTTTACAAATATTAATTAACAAATTAACACAATTTATTCTATACATTCACAAAGGTAAAAAGTTGCTTTAGGAAGAGAAATGAATCTGTTGGTCCACCATGGAGCAAAGTACAAAAAACAGCACCGGGAAAATTTTGGGTTTCAAGGTTCCTTGTAGTGCAATCTCAGCATATTTGTAGTCTAACTGGATTTCACTTTATTTATGCTTGGATGGGACCATTCTACATGTCCAATATATGTTATTAATTCTTAGGGGTAAGGCAATTATAGCTTCATAATGTTTGAAAATGATACATAAGGAACGGTCTTTATATGTATACAAATGTACTTGAAATGCATCACTCACCAATAACTAATGGCCTTTTGATTCTCTCTTCTACAACTACTAATAAAAATGTCACTTAGATCCATCACTGAAGCGATTGAACTTTCCCACTGTTCAACAGAATTATATCAGGAAAATTCACCTCCACAATGACAAGTGCAAATGTTCCCAGATATACATGACACACATTTTCTAATTTCCTAAATCGGGTCACATGGAATTAAATAACTGCCTTATGTGGAAGTAGTCGTGATAGCACGAACATTTGATGGACGCAAGGTATGCACAGTAGCAGATAACACAACTGAAAGGTCATTAATAATTAATATATCAGCAAAATAAGACCTGCAAGGTTTTCTTCTCTAAATCAATTTCTTTCTTCTGTTCACGATGAAAATATTTTGCCCATAATAAAATTGCAGAAAAAGCTCATATCTGATAACTACTTTTCATGTCAAAATACAGCCAAAATTTTCATTTTTTTTATCATACTGTATACGTTATTGTGTTGGGTTAAGCTAGCACTTGTCGAAATATTAATATCTGCCATCAACTATTGTGAACAATAAGAAAAACTTTATTCTAACATTTTGGTAACTATAACGTTCCACTGTCAAAAAATACAAAGAGTAATATACATTCATGACTTCAAAAAAAAAAAAAGTGATTTTATGTTACAAAACAGTAAGTATATGCATTCTATTTAATACAACTGAAGAAAAATTAAACATTGAAGATGCTGTTCATGTAATAACAGGTTTTATCCAAGTGATGTTAAGCTCACTGTGCAGTATTAGATGTAGTTATTGACAGAAAATATCATTAAAATTTGTAAAAAAAAACACCTTACCTTTGTTAATCTTTAACACACTTTTTATATATTTTAATATACACTAAACAATCATTCTTATTTCGCTATCTTCTATCCAGATGATTAAACTACACAGAGTAGAAGTAAACAATTTTTTTTATAGCTTAATATTACTATTTATCTATCATACATAACTGTTTTCCCACCTGTGACCACTCTAACTATGCTTTATTTTTTCAACAAAATTACATCACAATTAAATTCTTAGTACTAAGTTTGTGTTTTACAACTTTCATATTCATACGCCATTTGTCAAATGAAAACATATTCAAGAAAACACTCCTCTCTCACATCAGTACTAAACTTCTTGTAACTTTTACACAATTTTAAATAAAAAACGTACTTCTGACTACACTGAAAGAAGTAATACTTATAACGTTAGTTTAACCTAGAATTAAATGTAATTTTGTAAGATAAGAAAAATTAGGCCAAACTTGGCAAGACCATATTCTAGGTTTCCCCATTATTGACATATACGTTTGTTTGGTTTATTACTGTATATGAATTAGTCATTACCACTTACAGGTCTGTAATTTTTCAGCTCTTCATATTACTGCATTAATGTTTGAGCTATTAAACCTAATTTTTTTTGTATTGATTAAATACATGAGCTCTTTCTTATAATTATAATCATTCTAAGACGAAATACTTGATTTTGGTTCCTTTTTAAGACTAAACACATTACAATTTGGCTTGATGAGGATTATTTACTAAACCAATACAATACTAAGATCATTTATGGTACTTAGTTTATGGGAGACAGTAACATTACAAATCAGAAAATTTACAATAAATATATTTGTGATACTCTTTTTCAGTAATGGTACTCGTTAGTATACTTCATATTTTAAAGATTTGATATTGGTTCTAAAAACACTAATAAAATCTTTAACAAATCCATCTACACAAAACTTGTCCAAATTACATGTAGCTTAAAGAAGGTAACTGGGAAAAAATTGTGACTACATATATGAAAACAAAAAATAAAAGTATACACAGTGAAGCCTTGCTTTCTTATGGTTAGGATACAGCTTATCTGATCACATTCTAATTTTGATACAAGTACAGTACATTGGTATTAAAGGACCAATCTCTTACATATGCTCTTCTTGCACAAACATATTAGCTATGTATTAGTTGTATTTTGAATGTTATCACTTCAATCTTTCATTCATCTATGAACACAAATAATTAATCATTCTTTTCTTTGATGTTTTTAAAAAAAATTCTATAAATGTACTACAAAATTGCAAACAATATTACTCGTATAATGGCATAGAAAATACTTTAAAATAAATATTATGAGTTTATTTTCTCATGTCTGTGATGAAATTGAAAATATCTTGAAAAGAAAAATTCTTATTTGGAATATGCAAGAAAAATGGGACATTGAAAGAAAAATATATTTGCAGTACCCAAGTCAAATAAATTTGATTTACTGTTTATTCTATGTATCCCTATCTTCACTTATAAGACAGAAATAACTCCAACACCAACTCCACCTTCGTGTGCACACATAGAAGCTACAAAACTCCACTCATTGGTTTCTGGGTTATAAGCTTCAACTGTGCTCAAGTTCGATTCTCCATCATATCCACCAACTGCATAGAGCTTCCCACAGTTTGTCACTAATGCCACACGGCTACGCTTGACATTCATCGAAGCAATGAAACTCCACTGTTTTGTCAGAACATCATAAACTTCTGCAGTTTGAAGAAAGGTGGAGCCATCATAGCCACCACATACATAAATTTTACCATTCATGGTAGCTGCACCCAGTCTGCATCGTTTCGTTAACATTGGAGGCATTAGTATCCACTGACCTGACTGTGGGTCATACCTTTCAACCTGCAGCCATAAAAATAATTTCTAAATATTTTTGCTCTTATAATAATCTTAAACCTTTGAAAAAATAAAAAAGGTATCAAACCACTATAAACCTATTTAAAAATATGTTTTTAGTATATGCATGACATTTTGTGCAAACTGATGAAAAACATACACCAAGTTCATCATACTTCTTTGCTGCTAATATCATACACAGTGGTGAAAAAAACAAAAGGTTTTATTTGTTTGTTTTGGATACTTGCACAAAGCTACACAAGGTCTATATGTGTTGGCCATCTCTAAATTTCAACTGATGGACTACAGAGAAGGCAGCTAGTAAACAGCACCCACTGCCAACTCTTGGGCTACTCTAATTGAATAGTGTGATTTGACCATCGCTCGTATAACTCACCTACGGCTCCAAAGTGTGGAGTTCACTTTGCAGCATCGGAAGGTGAACCACATACTCAATTAATTAAAACCTTCCTTATTAGTAATTTTTAAGAAGCCTAAAAAGAAGTGTGGAAAATTTATTAATTGTAGTTTTAAAAGACATTGATTACTTTTTTTTTCCGACTAGTCTACACAAAGCTACTGCAAAGATTGTTTGTCTTTGAATTTCGCACTAAGCTTCACGAGGGATATCTGAACTAGCTGTCCCTAATTTAGCAGTGTAAAACTAGAGGGAAGGCAGCTAGTCATCACCACCCACCGCCAAC